ATTTAAATCAAACTGCCCACAGTTCATTTAGATGGTTGCCCATGAAGTAGGATCAGCCATATTTATTGGAATGAATAACCCCAGTAGGTAGATACCAAGCCTTTAAGCTTCCAGTGGCATCCATGTATGCTGTGCATGCAGTCCAGAGCCCCCTAGGATGGACTGTAAGCCCATCGTTTATGGCCGTTGCTGCTTCACCAGCTACATGGCAGCCTGGCTTCTCTCAGTCCTGTAACACTGGCCTGCCTTTGCCATCTATGATGTGCCTCCTCATGCCCCTGGCCTTTGCATGTGTTCTTCTCTGCCTTGGGTGCTCTTCATGCTTTTCTGGCTTAATCAGCTTTTACTCTCTCTTCACCCCTCAGCTCATGCGTCATCTCCTCTGGGAAGCATCCCGACTCCCTCAGCTCCCAGCATCTGACCTCTCTGCTGCTGCAGCCCCACTGTGTTGCACTCTTCACCCTCCTACCCTGCTCCTGTCTGTACTGGTGTCCTTTCCATATTTTAAGTATGCCACACTCTCTCCGACCCCGGGCTTTGCACATGCCATTCTCTCTGCCTGGAACACGCTTTCTCTCCCCTGCTTTCCTGTTGGGCTCCTCATCGTCATTTGGGCATCAGCTCAAACATCCTCTCACAATGGCTTTTCCTGCTGAGCCAGTCACATGTGGCCAGCATTCCCGCAATGACTTTAAAAAAATAACCTATTTGTTTTCTTCACACTGTGTATACAATTTGAATCTTGTTTATGCACATGGTTTCTAGTTTTCTGGACAGAACATAAGCTGTGGACACTCCCACCACACCCAAGAAGATGATTTCCATTATATTTGTCTAAGAAAGTAGTTCATGAACAGGAGGGATTTTGCACACACACACACACCCACACACTCCCCAAGGACTTTTCCCAGTGTCTGGAGACGTTTGGGTTGTCACAACCTGGCTGGGGAGAGAAGGCTCCTGGCATCTTGTGGGTAGAAGCAGAGATGCTGCTAAGCATTCCACGATGCATAGGATGCTCCTCCTCCAGCAAAGAATTATACAGACCAAAATGTCAGTATTACCAAGGTTAGGAAACTCCTATGTAATATCATAAGAGGACAGAGTGAAACCAAGAAGAGAGAATGAGTTTTCCCCAAATGATGAACAGTTTAGGAAATGACACAAGTGAACCCTACATGTAAAATACAATTGTGTAAGTTGAAAACGCTACAAGCATTCAATTCTTACTGCCATAGTAAGTGGCTTATTAAGCCAGAATAATAATATATGGATATAATAGTGGCAGTCTCTTATAACCCACTAGTCACTTTGCCTTTCAGTGATCATTAGTAAATCTTACATGACTTAATTTTAAGAAGTGAGAGTTAATGATTTACAAAAATGCTTTAAATTTCTGAGGTCCGTATCCATGGTTATACATTTCTTTATATTGCTATTACTAGGAAAAATTGTGAGCTATTTTTGAGGGGTATATATGAATTACTCTTGCCTATACTTTGTCAGAGTAAATTTATTAGCTCATTCTAAATTATGTTTTACTAGAGTAATATTTTAAAATATCACATGGTAATTTTCTAGTTTTCAAGGATATGAGCTTTGGTATATTGGTTTGTCTGGCCTGGCACATAGTCAGGCGTTCAATCTAAACTGAGATGACATCTTTCTCTTTTTAAGTGGGGATCTTAAGATCAAAGGAAGTGTCTTTGAAAAGTTACTTTTTATGGAAAATGATTGGAGCTGTTAAGGATCGCCAAGCTCCCCAAGGCAGTTGTTAATAATTGGTGGCCCTAAAGGAATTTGAATTTCTAAAGAGACATTTTCACCATTAATCTTCTTATACTGTAATCCTCATGCATAGGAAGTTATCAGATAACCATGGACCATGGTAAATGCTAGCACATTTTGATGCACTGATTATGTGGTTCAGAGGTTACTTGAAAATATTTTAGAGGTCCTTGGTATACTGTCCTATGGAAGATAAAAAAGGTGGGGTCAGCATGTTTTTGGATCTGAAAATTATGTAGATGGTTGTAAGTTTTGGCAACGCCTCAGCCCCACCCTCAGTGTTCTTCAGGAGTGATTTTTAACTCCAGCCCCACTGCAGAAGAACCTTATTTTTTCCTTTTTTTTAGTGAAATGTTATGCGTAATCCTAGTTTATAACAAATAACAAATGAAAATAGAGTTTCTTTCGTTAAAGGGGGATGATGGCAGTGGAGCCCCACTCCTCTGGAGCACCATTCATCTCTCTCCATCAACACATGCTTTTGCCACTGTGGTAACATGGCTTCCTGCAGCACAGCTTTTCCATCAAGCAATCATTACTAGCTCTGTGGCCTGGTGAATCACTCTTATCTAAGAATGGGTATCATAGTATCTAGATCAGAAAGTTATTTACAGGACTGAGCTGGAGAATGCATGTTAAGCTTATTAGCACAAATCCTGGCTTGTAGTAAACATACGGTAAACGTTCCTTCTTAGTACAGTGAGTGTTGGCTCTCTGTCAACAGGAACTTGCAGACAACCAGGTCCATAATAAAGGCATAAATTATAGGTGGAATTCAGAAATTGCTGATGAAGCCAAGAATGCTTCCTTCTTGGCCTTCTGTCTGGCCATGAGACCCGTCTGAAGTGCTGTAGGGATTTTAAGTATATCTCTATGGTGCTGATTTTCATGGACATTGGAACAAAAGAAAACAAAGTAACTCCTCTGCTAATGAGAAAGCTGGGTAAATCAGTTCACCAGATTTCATGGCCATGCCAGTTAACTAACCTATTATTTTACTGGCATATTAGCTTAGTGTAAATGTAATTTAAATGGAAGTTTCTTGTAAATAGTTTAAAACATCTAGATTTAAACAAGTCTGAGAGGACTTTTAAAAAGCATTCTGAAGGATGTATATGGAGAATCAAATTAATAATAAAAATCCCTTAATTGCCAGTAGTTGGGGGGTGGAAGTGACATAAGCAATGGTGGCACTTCAAAAGAACATGGAAGAATGGACGCACAGCTCAAATTTTGAGGACAAATGGGTAAATGTGTGGTCAGATGCTACCCCCCCAAAAATTAGGACAAACTGATAGGGTGTTCCACTTCTATGACACAAGTCTGCAGAAGGACCTCTGCAAATAGAATGCAGTATTTTAGGAACAGTGGAAGAGAACATTGTCACCAAGGCAAGGAAGAGTGGGATTGTTATGATACATGACACCTTCCTCCAGGATTCCACAGCAAGTTAATAACTCAGAAATTAAGAAATTGCAAGTTTATATATTTAATATTAAACCCTAGCAATTAGCTACAAACTGTTTTAACTACTTGTATATCTTCTTTTCCATTGTTCTTGACCGAAGTGTTTTAGTTTTGTATTCGTTTTGTTTTGTGTTTTTGCAAATGGGAACTGTTAAGAGGCTCTCCTACTCACTGGTCCAATCCTACCCCTTATAATGTAACCGTTGTTGAGCTGAGATACACTTTTTGTTGTTGGTAACAAAAAGGGGCTGTACTGTTTAATTATTTTGTAACTTGCTTTTTAGTATGTCTTAGATCTCACTCTAGGTCAGTGGTCTCAACTGAAAACAATTTTGCCCCCCAGGAATCAATGTCTGGAGACATTTTTGATTGTCATGACTGGTGGGCTGAGGGCGGTTGCCATTGGCATCTACTAGGAAGAGGTCAGGGTGGCTGTAATCATACAATACGAAGAACAGCCTCCACAACAAATAATGATCTGGTCCAAAATGTCCGTAGAGCCAAGATTGAGAAACCCTGCTCTAGGTCAAGACACATAAATCTAATTTATTATTTTGAAAATCTTCATAACAGTTTTTGCATGGTAGATCATAATTTATTCAACTAGTTTCCTATTGATAGCTATGGCTTCTTATTTAGTGTCACTTATGTATTTAATATTAAGAAGCCAAATGCTCCAATTTCATAATTTTTTAAGTCATTTGTTTCTTTAAAGAGTCAAAATAAGCCTTATCAGAAAGACTCAAGAAGAACAGTTAAGAATTCACAGGCTTGTGTATAAAATTAGATTCTGGGTCACTATGAGTCAAGAGAATTTGGTTTCAATAAAATCACAGACTCATTCTAAATGACAGGTCTTAAAGTAAGTTGTTTGAAAAGCCTGTCTTCATTTTTGAGTCCTTGAAATTAAAAAACCAGCAACAACTCTAAAGTCTTTTATATGACGGCCAAAATCAAAGAAGCCTTCTTTTGAAGTAATAACTTTCAGAGAACCTAATTCTGATTATTCTTACCGCCTCCTTCTATATGTTTTTTAAAAACCCATTAGTATGTTAAACCATGGTAGGTTGAACAAAAGAAAACAAAGCAGGTTTAACATGAAGAAAGTGATATCCAATCCTAAAGACGTTGAATGACTTCCAGATGCCATTGACAATGAAACTCCGAATTGGAATGACCCTCTGGTTAACCACAGAGGGTTTTCCAGCAAGGGTGCCCTGAAGCAAACAGATGTTTGTTCCCTGGTTCTTCAGCCCATCCTCTCTACATGCCATGTGCACTCCTGGAACGATAAAATCAAGAATTGAGTCTCTTTCCCTTGCAGAACTGGGAAAAGGGTAATGGAACCAGAGTAGGTTTGTGAGAAGGATGGCAAACCAATTGTGAGCCTGAAAGGGTCAGACCTCTGCACCACGCCTGTCTTTTTCTCAGTTTCCTCAATAAGAAGCAAGAGTTGGCTGTTTATCTTTCCTTTGCCAGTAGTTTTTTTATTTTTAAAAGTCACCAGTGACAGTTCTGTAGCGAAATAGACTAGGCTGGTTAGTTTGGGCTTTGTGCTTTTGACCTTTCAACTTTTTGGCATGAGTCCTTACAGTTAATAAATTAATAGGGACCATCATCGTGGGATAGGTCAGACCTGTCAAAAGGGCAGTGGGTCAAAACCTTCTAAGTAACTGCTGACATCAGGAGTTCGTTGATATTTGGGAGAACTAAAAAGAGTTTCCCCTGTGCTATTGCCTTTGTAGGATCAGAGCCACGCGCAAGTTTCACAGTACCGTCAGGATCACTCCTTGATCATGCGGTCCATCGTCCACATGACCGATGCTGCTCGCTCCGCCATCATGCCTCCTGCCCAGCTCACTACTATCAACCAGTCTCAGCTCAGCGCCCAGTTGGGGTTGAATTTGGGAGGTGCCAGTATGCCCCACACGTCCCCTTCACCTCCAGCAAGCAAGTCAGCAACCCCCTCCCCTTCCAGCTCCATCAATGAAGAGGATGCTGATGATTCCAACAGAGTAAGTTATCTGCCTTAGTATGTAACCTCCCAGAGAATTTGGGATCATCCTATGTGCATGCTTTGAATTTCATTCCTGGTATTATCTTCTTTTTCTTCATGGATTTGGAATAGCATTTAAATTTATGACAGTTACATTTTTTTCTTCACTCTATTTATTTTCTGTGTAAAGTGCATTCAACTGGATTGGGATGAAGGTGTAGGCATCAAACAAGTCATTTAACTTGTAGACCTGATTTTCCTAATCTGCGGAGGGGAAGGCTTGCACTAGATGTTGCAGGAACTGCTTTGGTTCTAAATTAATGTTCGTGTGGCTAAATTTCTTTCATTAGGTGGCTGAACTGCTACCACATCTGACAGCCTTGCACCTTGGATGATGGTTTATCACTTGATAAGTTTTAATCATTTAACATCTTTGCTTTTGTTATGGAAAATGTATGTTATTCAAATATACATAGTTTGTAATAAAAACTTAGTTGCAGGTATGACTTATCTGAATGCCTAGAAAAGATTTGTTTCATTAAAGTCACTTACTCTGCTACACAGTTACTCACTCCTTAGTCATTAATTGTATGTTGTACACCTACTCTGTGCTTGGCATTTTACTTGGTTCTGGCAATAGAAAGATTTATAAGAGAATTACTGCCTATATGATTCCCCACTGGGGATGAATAGCAATGTTTAAAACTATCTTCCAATGTGATTAGTGGTATAATTGATGTATCTGGTGTGCTGAGATTGGAATCGATTCTGCTTGAGAGAGTGATTTGAGGAAGAGTTTATTGAGAAGGTGATATTTGAATTAGGTCTAAGAGGATACATAAAAGTTTGTGAGGCAGAAGAGAGGTCGGCATTCTGGTAGAGGGAGCAGTGGAAGTACATGTCAATTTATAGGTATCGTGAACAGTGTGATATGGGGGAGGAAAGAAATAGGAGTCGAAGAAAGAAATGGCTGATTGTGGTAGCCTTTCTCCTGTTGGTAGTTGAGAGCTGATTAATTATTTGCATAGAGGAATGGCAAAGGCAACTTTATTCTTCAGACATAAAACATCAGCTCTGTATAGAATGCATTACAAAGGGAGGGACCAGAGAAAAAGAAGCCAATTAGAAGACCCTTTTGTGATGAAGTTTCATTTCAGCAAAGAAAGGAATGGACAGGAGGTACCAGGCTAGTGAGACACTTAGGAGGGAGAGTGATTATGGCTTGGTGATCCATTGGGATTTGAAGGAGTAAAAGACAAATTGGATTGTAGTTTGAAAGTCAACATGAATGTCAATAGAGAAGATCAACCCCGAAAGAGAGGAGTGTTATTTTTTCTCTGATGGGGAAGATAAGGGTCGGGCATGTTCTGAGCTGAATTTGAGGTGCTTATATTTAAGTCTAGAACTCAGTTCATTGGAGATAGAAACATAGATTTGGGAACCACCAGCACATAGATGTGAAGACATGGATGTGATTAGGATCTCTCAGTGTGTAAGGAGCCAGTCAAAGCCAGAACCCTTGAGCATCAGTAATTTGTAAGTAGCAAATGGAAGAAGTGGAGCCAGAGAAGACTGAGCGCGATGTGGAAGAGCAGAGGGAGATTCGAGTAGCGTTGCAGGGATTTCAAGAAGGAGGGTTTGGTCCATACCCTGGTTTGAGACCCCATTGGGCCCAGAGTGGGTAAAAGCACTCAGCCTCTGCTCACACTCACAAGAAGTTCAATGATGTGGGAAATAATGATTAAAGAAACCCAAGGGATTTGAATAAGGCACAGCTAAAGTAGACTTGGCCAGGACACAGCTCAAATGGATTCCTTCCCTAGCATTCACATTGCCACTGACCTCAGTCCCTACCTCTGTACCAAACTGAAATCATCATGTCTAAAGAGAACCTTTTCTGTGACTTCTGGCTTATTCCATTTTAAATGTGGATCTAGGTTTTGTGTAAAGACTATCTTTTAAGCAACTTAGCTGAGAAAGGAAGAGTGAAATTGTCATTGATGATGTCTTTTTTGAGTGAAGCTATGTCTCCACCTTTCCCAACCCTCTGGAGTCAACACACAGAAGTTTCTTTAGAACCTGAGCTTTTATTCAAACTGTGAGAACCTTCATTTCATGTTTATTGAAGGTTCTTTTATAAAATAATCATAACTTCCTAGTTGTTGAAGGTAGTCAGAGCAAGTTATGGTTATCTAAGAAAGACATCAAAGCTTGTCAACATTTGACTATTTTACAGAGAATGAAATTGAATTCTTATTTGGAAGAAGCTACACTGAAAATATCTTTTATCTCACCATTGGTCAGGGCATAGCTGGCACAAAGAGTGCCACATTTTCTTCCAAAGAGTATAGTTGTTTGACTCAATTAGAAAAACCTGTGTATATGTGTTTTTTTCTTGTCACTGAAGTAGTATTTTTCTGTTAAGGAAAATTTGGCTTCAGTTGAAGTTCTAACTGAAAGACATCTGACTCCCTTGCAACTTAAGAATCATGAACTAGAATTAAGTAGGCCTCACTTATTCTGGGAATTCAAGAAAAAGATGATGGGACCTAATAAATTATTGAATTAATTGTGTGAGTTATGAAAGATGGCATCTTGGAGGAGATGCATTTGAGATGCATCTGAAGTATGCAAACTATTTGTATAAAGTAGATGTTGCTACTCAAGTAATGCACACAATAGGCCCGCCTAAGACTGATGCTTTCCTAACACCTCAGGGGGTATTAAGCTCTCAAAGACAAGTTTCTTCTCAGTTTCCTCCCTGAGAATTTTCGTAATTGAATTAAGTTCCAAATGACTCTCATTCAGAAAGTAATGATACTCTTGGAAAATTTGAATTAGGATTCCAGACTCAAGGCCATTAAAAGCCAATCTGTTAGTAACTTGAATCTCTCTCTGTTGATCTTGCCCAAGGCTGGCTTTTAAAACAGATTTTGTCAAACAGTTCAGCATTTTTGATTGAGTTAACAGCAAAATATCTTCAATATAGTCATATTATTATCTAGAGGGATAAAACAAGGTTGATAAATCCTTTCCCCTGCTCCTGATAAGTATGTGATCATTGAAATTAGATGATGGTAATAGTTGAATCTGGGGCTCAATGGTATATAAATTTGAGGAGGTGTGCCCATATCATTTCTGTGGTTTTAATTCACAGGTATTGTGAATACCTGTGAACATCACTAGAACAGTATTCTTCTAGGCAGAGTTATTTGTCATATATATCTTCTTCTTAGTTTTCTTTCTAGCCTTATTGATTTTAAGTATCAACTATTGTGCATTTATAATTTCATGAAGAGTATCAATTTCCATTTTATGTCCAATTTTAAAGGAGTTTTGCCATTTTACATTTTTTGTTATCCTACTCTTTAGAAAGTTATGATTATTTTATAAAAACTTCCCCTTATTGTGCAAGCTTAGGGACTGTAGCTAATTTCCATTTGAGTTTCTGGTGACCCATTAGCAAAATACAATTGTGATAAAATTAAAACACCAAGCCTCAAAAATATAAATTCATGCGGCATGAATTGCTACATGAGTCATACATGTGGTATGTGACTGTGGCAGGAGACCTCATTTAAAATATATCTGGATGTGGTCAACATCCTGAATATTATTTAGGTTTACTCCTAAAACTTCAGAAAATGTAAAATATTTTGTTTATGTGTACATGTGTACACAGCAGGTATATATATATATATAGCATCGCCTGGTTCAGAATGTTCTGTTTTTCATTACTCATAATTGCTATTTAGAGCATATGTTGTGAATGTATTGAAGATACTTCTGGGTCTCATTAATCAATGTTCTAAATGCTAATCTCTGCTGTCCAGTTAACTCTAAGCAAATTTACCCCTCCCCTGCTTTTGGTGGTGATTCATCTGTTGATGATGCTTAACAAAACCTTAACAGAACAACTGTGGACCTGAGTCAGTCTTGCTGCATTCTTTGCAAGTGCATTCTAGGCAATGAAGTTTCTTTCTGCTTTACAGGCCATTGGAGAGAAAAGAGCCGCTCCAGATTCTGGCAAGAAGCCCAAGACTCCAAAGAAAAAGAAAAAGAAAGATCCAAATGAGCCACAGAAGCCAGTGTCAGCATATGCCCTGTTTTTCAGAGACACACAGGCTGCAATTAAAGGTCAAAATCCCAATGCAACCTTTGGAGAGGTCTCCAAAATTGTAGCGTCGATGTGGGACAGTCTTGGAGAAGAACAAAAGCAGGTGAGGCATAGGTCCATCATGGCTATATATTAAAAAGTTACCAGAGTATTCCATACACCTTATCGAAGTGAATACATTCACTCAATATGATTGCTTCTTATGAAAGCCTTTCTAAACTATGGAATTAAAAAACACCTATATAAAAATTCAGGAGGTACCGGATTAGTGAGACATTAGTAAGAGTCTCCAGTTGTACGGATTTCTCAGCGCCCTTAAGGGTATATGTTCAGAACCCATTTCCAGGAGAGTTGGAGGGAATCCAGGCAGCATCCTGCAAGCATAAACTTTTGATTATAATCTTTTCATTTTAAATAATATGGAATTCTTTCCCCTTTGTTCAAAAAGGGCTTGACAGAGGGATTATTCCATCCTGCTTGCCTTTTCTTTGATCATCTTTCTGAACCCTTGTTGCTATTCTGGTGGGTTCCCAAACTTTGAAGCTGCCTCTGCGTGTCTATTATTGTCACCGGGCATTTGAAATTTTATTCCAAGTTCATTTGAAAGCTCGGCCATATATGAGAGGTATAGAGAAATTAACCATGCTGATGGGAGCTACTTCCCTACAGCCCACTCTCCTTGTTTCCCTTGCAGCTCTCCACATATAAATGGAGAGAATGGCTTCCTTGCAGGCCAATCATGCCCCCTCTACCCCTTGCTCTTGGCATGAAACTCCAATGACCGTTAGCAGGAGTTAACTTTACATATCCCCAGAGGAATAGATCCCTATTAGTAATAAAATAAGATAATGGTTTCAGGAATGAACATCAGAAACCCGTGATTTTTTTTCTTTTTTATTACAAATATTGAGCTCATGCCTCCCTGCTAACCATCATGGGCCCCTACAACTGTACAATTTGCCTGTTTGTTTGTAGTGAGCTTCTTGGTATATGTTCCTTATGTATGTCATTGTATGAGCTTATCATTGTTGACTGGGTTTCTGTCCCAGAAATATAATCCTCAGGGACTGGCAAACTGCTGCATCTTTTAAATTCTGGGGAAAAAGACAGTTGGGATTTGGTTTAACACTCAGCCATCAGACTAGTGTTAAGACAAGGAAGCTTAACTCATGCTTAATATATTGGAATTTTTTTTGTTTCATTTAACTCATTGGCCCCACTAATGGAAATCTCCCATATTTCACTACTTCGGACTTCTTTTTTTTTTCTCCAAAAGAAAAACCAAGGTTGAAAGGCCTCCATCTTTTCTCTTCTGGCTTCATACATTCTGCCTGTTGTTGGTCTTCTAATCCTCTGATTTGGTACAGTTTAAGAAATGTGTGTCAGGGAAAGAAGACATTGTTGGAGAAACTCATTACTTTCTAGAATTTAAACCATTTGCAATACATTTTACCCTTCTTGCTACCTTATTTACTGCCTTAGCATGAAGCCCTTGGTCACTGCTCTCAAGAAATCTAGGCTGCAACCTGACATCTCTTATTTATAATAATAAACATCAAAATTGTGCTCCAGTGAGGGTGGCAGTGTTTTGTTTTAATGTTTCCGTGAGTGTGTGTGTGTGTGTGTGTGTGTGTGTGTGTGTGTGTTTACATTTAAAAACCAAAGCCGTGGAGACCAATGTTGTGTGTGAATTAGGTTCTGACCTAATTTGTGCAGCAGTTATTTTCTGGCTGAGAAATTTGTATGCTAAAGGTGGTGCTAATTGTGGTCTTTTAATAGGTGTATAAAAGGAAAACGGAAGCTGCCAAAAAGGAGTACCTGAAGGCCCTGGCTGCCTACAGGGCCAGCCTCGTTTCTAAGGTAAACCCGAGCGGGGAGGCCAGGCTCTGAAAGAGCTGCACTGTTGAAAAGAATCCTGGAGCATTGATCGCAGAAATGCAACTCCCTTTAGAGTTGACAAGAAAAGCACCTTGAACAACTAATAAACTTATTTGTTTCCATTAGAGATTGCTGCAGTGATGGTGTGAAAAAGATGAGTTAATTTAAGCTGCTGAATCTAAATTGTTTCCAAAGATTCTATGATCTCTGTATATGTGAAACTATTTAGACAAATTTGAAATAGGCTCTTACTGTGTATTTTCATCAGGGATTGAGATCCATGTTAATGTTCTCTACTTGAACGGGGAAGTGTGCTTGTCAGGTGTTTTGGACATCATATCATAAGTTCTCCAATGCTTACATTACTGTGATAGGGGATGACCCATTTTTGACCAAACTGTTCCACATCATATAAATAAGTAAACTTCATGATTTTTTAAAACAAAATTATGCTCCAAAAAGAGACATGTATATATGTATTAGACATAGAGTATATAATGGACCCTGCCGTGTTATAAGATGGGTCAGAATCCCAAAGCCAGTGTCACTCTAGCTTATTATTACCTTGATCCAAAAGGGGCATGAACTATTACATTCTATTATTTTAACATTCAATTCACTTTGTCCTTAGCCTTAGTCAGGCTTTGGGGAAGATAATTTGAACTAGTGTTTTTGCTCTTGATGTTTTTCCTCGGGCAAGCAGATTCCATCTCCTTGTCATCCTTAGTGCCTCGAGAACCACACAGAGCCTCAGGGCATGGAAGGTGTTGCAGGCAAAGCTGTTTTACAAGGGTTTGTCCCTTTTTTGTCTTCTTCACCTGAGTTGTTCCTTCTTTAAAATAAAGTCAATTTTTGGCAGCTGCTCAGAATCAGATCAAGGGGTTCCTCCTGCCTTTGTTGACAGCTCTTAGGATGTTTCTCACTTCATTAGAAAGAGAAAACATTCATCAGGTCAATAGCAAGACCTTTCTTTGAGACTTTGGAAAACACGCTTAAGAAGATATACCGATTGGATTCTGGTCTCAGACTTGCACCCTGGCAGAAAACTACTGTATGTGTGCACTACAGATGTTAAGAATCGAGACAAAGTTGATGGCTAATTAGAGTGAAGTGCATAGAGTAACAATATGCATGTACTTCTTAAGTGGATCATTTATTCATTCATTTACCCAGAAGCAGGTATAGGTGATCTTTGTGCATTAGGGCATGAATAATTGACCACACATGGATTTAAGCCAAGAGCCAGCAACTTGAGTGGCATTCAAGGAACTAGCAGCCACGATTGGGCTCTTCAAGTCTATGATAGACTAGAAGGGATTTCTTAAAAGTTACTAGAATCAGAATTCAGAAGTATTTCTGAATGGAATTCAAAATGTAAATTTTGGAATGTGAAATTTAAAAAGAATTAATCTAAAATATTGTTTGGGATGAGGTTTTTTTTTTTTCTTGTTTGTTTGTTTTTTCACGAAGCGCAATTTGAGAACATCCTAAGTTTATATTCAGAGAGTTGGCAGGCAACTAAAATAGTCCCTGAGGTAAAAGTGTAGAATGATTTCAACCTGAACCAAAAGTGTGAAGTATCTGCTAATATGGTGATCTCACAGGAATGGTACAATGTAATGAGTAGACCATATCTGAAGAAGGGATCTGTTTTGGACCCCAATGTAAAGAGGAATGGTGGCCAACAGAAGGTTCTCTAGAGGGCTGCCTTCATGATGGTGAAGACTGAAAATCAAATCATATTGAGATTATCAAAAGAATCAGACAGTTGAGGGTTTGGGGGCGTATGATCTTTGTCCTCAAATATAAGGACCATCATGTTAAGGAAGTGTAGGTTTGATCCCTGTGCCCGAGATAGAAGAACTCACCCAAGGAGTAAGGTTACCAGGAGCAAGATTTCAGCCTCAAATAATAAATGGAGTTGCATCATATGTGCATTTACCATATGAGTCTACATGCAGAGCCTGGGGCTCCTTCTCCTAAGATGTGACTCTGCCATCACTTTTCATCTTCACAGCAACCAACAAAATCAATAGAAACTTAATATTAAACAATAAAGGAGTAAACCTGGCAGGCAAGCTGGAACTCTTGACAATCATCCTCCCATTTCCATTCACCACCAGGGTAGTATCTTAAAGGTGCAATGGTGTGATTGCCCAGGTGTCTAACTATAGACTTTCCTTATCGTTTCTTCCTTAAGACTAGCTTGGTGATTTTTAAATATTAGAAAATGCAAGAATTATGTTCATGTTTATATCTATAAAACTGTGTGTTCTACTCTATGGGTGATTTAATGGTTTTTAAAAGGTAACTAGAAGTATTTGCAGGCTTCTTTTCACCCTAAGACTTTAGAATGTGACGCTCCCATAGCATGCAGCCCCGCTGAGCTCTTGTACAAAACCAGAGAGCTGTCTGCTGATGGATGGCACTTCACAAGGATGACATGTGTTTAAACAGGAGCCATTAACAATGGTTTTTCCTATATTAACTCTCCATATAAAGCCACTTCTCAGATTCCTTCTGATTCCTCCTTCTCTGGAAACATTCAAAATCATTAGAGAGTATGGCTGTCAGCTTGATGCTGCCAAGGTCCCCTCATAGCACCCCTCCCAACAACCCCTAATTTTTTAAAAAGAGGAAACAAATAGCCTTTAAGGGGATTCATTCCAGTCATTGTTGCATTAGCAAGAGAACTTATTTTTGTGGAGATAAGACTGTGTTTTCAGCACAAAATATAATAGGTGGTCTCTCTCCATGCTGAACCCCAGATCAGTGGTTTATCTTACACAAGGTTTTTTAGTCACATGATTGTTGACTGTTGGCCCCTTATCTATGACTCCTGTGATAAATTGGAAATCTTTGAAAATATTTGGTGAACTAAAACATTTCTGAAGTTGTAAAGTACTTCAATTTAGTATTTCTAAGGAATTCAGTTACATTTTTCTTATATTCAAGTGAGCACTGTTATATGTAATCATGTGACTAGAGGGCTTTGACCTTTTCCAGTAGGAGTAGTTTTTTGATTATAGTAGTTATTAATTAATAAAAATAACTAACATTTACTAAGTGCTTCTCATGGGCCAGGTACTATTCTAAATGCTTAACACATATGTGTTCATTTAATACTCACAACCTCTACACAAAAATCCCATTTTACATATAAGGAAACTGAGGAATACCTAGGTTAATTAAGTGGCCCAAAGTCACAGAGTTGTTAAGTCGTAGAGCTAGACTTGAATTCAAGCAGTCTATATTCTTTCAATATATTCTTGGTGGGAGGTTAGTTCAGACTTAACTGCTGAGGAAATTGTTGTTCTTACATATGTGTATCAGTTACCTTTGGCTACAGCACTACTGTAGTGCTGTAGCCACAACACCCAGTGTCTTTTATCCCAGAGTACGCCAGTTAACTGGCTAGTTTCTTCAGATGGTTGCCTGGCCTAGCAGCATCAGCTTGTCTTGCTCATATGTCTGCAGGCAGTGTGGACCTTCAGAGGTTGGCTCATTTATGGCCATTGACTGGCTAGCAGCGACCTGGCTGTGGTGTGCGGTAGGTTTCTGGAGAGCATGGAAGCATACAAAGCCTCTGGAGACCTCACTGTCCTCACATTCTTCTGAGCAGAGCAAAGGCACAAGGCCTGCTCAGATTTCAGGGATGGAGAGTTTGACTCCACCTCCAGGAGGAACTAAAAGGCCATATGACCCCATGTACAGGGAGGAGTGAATAATGGTGGTCATTTTTGTAATCACTTTGCAATGCTTGAGAACACTGCAGGGTTTTCAGTACTCATGTATTTTGATGTGTTGAAATTTTCTGCCCTCCACCGCACCCCCCCCCCCACAGGCTGCCGCTGAATCTGCAGAAGCACAGACCATCCGCTCTGTGCAGCAGACCCTGGCATCCACCAACCTGACGTCTTCCCTCCTTCTAAGCCCTCCGCTGTCCCAACATGCAGCAGTGTCCGCCTCACCCCAGACCCTCCAGCAGCCGCTCCCCAGGTCCATCGCTCCCAAGCCCCTCACCATGAGACTCCCCATGAGCCAGATTGTCACATCAGTCACCATCGCAGCCAACATGCCATCGAACGCTGGGGCCCCTCTGCTCAGCTCCATGGGAACGGCCATGGTCGGCTCGGCACCCCCCACCCAGGTGAGCCCCTCGGTGCAAACCCAGCAGCAGCAGATGCAGTTGCAGCAGCAGCAACAGCAGCAGCAGCAGATGCAGCAGATGCAGCAGCAGCAGCTCCAGCAGCATCAGATGCATCAGCAGATTCAGCAGCAGATGCAGCAGCAGCATTTCCAGCACCACATGCAGCAACACCTGCAGCAGCAGCAGCTCCAGCAGCAAATCAACCAGCAGCAGCTGCAGCAGCAACTGCAGCAGCATCTACAGCTGCAGCAGCTGCAGCATCTGCAGCATCCCTCGCAGGCTTCCCCACGACAGTCCTCGCCCGCCACGCCCCAGCTCACATCCCCCATCCCCACCATTGCCAGCCCCCAGCCCGCGCCCCCGCAGCACCAGTCGCAAATACAGCCTCAGACTCAGACTCAAGTATTGTCGCAGGTCAGTATTTTCTGAAGACGCGGAGCCGACATTGGGTGCACCGCGTGGCGAGGCGGGAAGCCGGTGAGGCCAAGCCTGCAGGCGCTGGTGGCCACGCGGACGCGCGGACCCTGGGTCCTCTCAGTGCCTATCAGATAGGCAGTACCAAGCGCAGCGCGGCCGGGCACGCTCCTCCGGCCAACTCTAAACCGCCCTGTTTTTAAGCAAGAAAAGCTGTGCTCTTTTCTGTGATGCCTTTTTTATTTATTCAGGCTATACCTACAATATGTGAATCACACTGTTTAATAAATCCGGGGACATTCTGGTCACCATAAACTGGCCTCTCTGAGTCACAGAAAACGGCCTTATTTCTCCGGAAGTGAAGAAACCCACACTTCGAGGCTATTTGAACTTCCGAAGCCCTAAAACTAAAAAGCACAGTTGTAATTACCTGGAACACGAAGATCCAGTTTCATACAAACGTTTGTATGACGAAAATAGTCGATGGCATTTTTTTGTCATGAAAAAAAAATGTAAATCACAGACTTTTGCCAAAGCTCTTATTTTTTTCCTAAATCTCTCCAGAAAAAAAAAAAAAAAAGAACAAGTGATTAGATCCAATTCTTGACTCATTTCCACTTTTTTAACCCAGGACTTCTCAAATCAAACCACAGTATATGTCGTAACAATAACTGTGACCACTGTTAGCCCATTATATCCATTCCAATTAGAGGAAAGAATGTGAATACTATATTCTGTGTTTTGAGTGACAAGTTTCGAAAAATAAAAACACTGTATTTTTAAAAGGGAAATGCACTTAAATGAAAACGGTTATTACAAAAGTTAAGATTAAAAAAAAAGACACAAGAGTTTTTATTATGTTGTAAAACTGGTAGAATATTTAAAAGGCACCCCACCTCTGAATAATCAATGTAAATATTTTCTTTCAAAGTTGTAAGTTTTCATATCATGTGTTGTAAAGTTTTCATAAACGAGGCTTTAACGTAAACACTGGTGACACAAACCGTTCATTGCTACGTTGCTTATTGTGTTTTTATGCTGTTTTATACTTTTTTATGAGTTATGATAGCAGCTATTAAGTTGTTTGTATTTTGCTTAACTAAAACAAAAATGCTTTTATCTTGCTATAGAATAAACACATTTCAGTACAAACTGTGGACTGTATTTTGATGCAACAACCAGGAACTGTTCACTTTTCAAATAAAATGATATGTCGAATTTCACATTTGGTTTCTTGAATTACGTACATGATGGGGAAATATGCCACAGACCAACTTTTAATTGAGCCCAGGCATCATCTTCCGTTTTCAATTGGAAAAACAACGTTCATCGCTAAGAATTTGGATTGCTAAAGCCCCAAATCAGAGCCTCTTAAAAAATAAAACACCTTTGGAAATATTTTTGTAATTATCCTTTGTTAAGATGCAAGTGACAAGGTAACTATAGAGGAGAAAACAATTGTCTTCTATTTAGGGCTAGAAGTAGCTGGCATTGTGTTGTTATTGCTATTAAAGTGGATGGTGAGTGCTAATTCGTAAGCCAAAATAATTATTTCAGTGCCCATTTCTTCCTCCCTTTCCTTGCTCTGTAGTGGCTCTTCTTTGCGAACAGTGTGACCACTATCCCCAGTTGTCTTGCATGATTAATTACAGCATCTGTCCTGTCAGAAGCTATAATGAAGAGGTCTTGATAAAAATTGCAAATTACCACTGGCAACAGTCTTAAACTGCTTATGATAAAATGAAAATTAAAAACAGCAAGTGTCAACCCTGAGTGGAATTCTAATCTGGAAAAAATGAGGGTGTGAGTAGTACCATCCACAGCTATTGTGTGCAAGACAGAAATAATGGAATATGGATTCCTCAAAGTTGTTGCTGTATTTCAAAGAATATTTACTGTATGTTGTGGGCTATGAATAATGAATTCAGTTTTCAATATTTCATAATCCTCTCCTACTCTGTATTATGTACAAATATTGAACAGCAAGAGATTCTAATTATAAATTTATAGATTTCTTGCTGCAGAAAAATTTATGTCTGAATTGAAGCTTTTCATAAGATGTATTAGTTGACAGGTATCAGTGTTCAAACATTCTTAGAATGATGCCTAATCACATCTACAAGGGGGCAATTGTATTCCACAAAGAAATGATCTGCTTGCATCAGACCCATCAGAAGCAGAGATGATGGAAAAAGATTTTCTGTGAATTGAAACTAACATTACATAACAATAAGAACCATTTTATATTCTGTTGTGAAACCTTTAGACAAATGCCTTCAAAATTAATTGCTAAACTACATGTGACAGTAATTGTGTATTAGTTCTGTAATTGTCATTTTGAAAACCCATGAAGTATTATCGCTTGGAAAAAAATGTCACTAGTGATAAGACTTAATTGCAAGCGAATTCTGTTTTCTACTGTTTGCAGTTAGAAGCAGGTGCTGTAACATCTATTAAATGATTTTATAAATCTTGGGTTTTTATCACATTTGATTAAATGCTGATGAGACACTGACGGTCAATTTAAAAAAATAGTGTAATTACTGCAGTTTAAAATATTAATCATCAAGCAACACTATATATTTAAAAAGTCAAAAAGGCTTGAGTCATGAAAGGAATTCTCCAACCTTGATACCAAACTGTTTTTCTGAGGATTCCGGAAGGCATATTATGAATCAACTTGTATTTCAATTTATGCAGGGTTTCTATTCCTGATCCTCAGTAGGTACTTGCTGTACTTATTGTTACAGGGGAGAAATAAATCAGGGTAATGAAAAATAGGCATGAGGAAAGGAATGTGGTATCTGATTAGTGGGTTGTCTAAATGGTCGAAGTACCTTCCCTCTGAAGTGGCATACAGACATTAACGAGGCTGTCCGCACCCTCCGCCTGCATCATGCACACCTTTTCTCTCCCCTGCCATATGCAGCTTATTTTATTACTCTGGCAAAACATGTTTTCTCATTTTGCATTAACCTGTGGCTGCCTTACGATGAACGAACATAAGGAGTTTTCATTTTTAGCTGACACAGGGTCATTAGTTCCCAACTCAAAGAACAAAAGCTGAAATGCCTTTGTGCAGCATACTTTCTGCAATCTATTACCACCTGATGGGGGTTTGAAGGCTTTATAGACAGATGGATTAATATCTCAAGTTTAAGTAGTTCTCTGCTGTGTCCATTCAGGGGACTTCAGATATCTGAGTGGTTTCTTTCCCATTTCTCCCTTCGTGGAGCATTTTTTCAGCACTGGACTTTAAACTAACCTTTCCTCCCCCGCCCAGCCCCCTTTGTTTGGCTTTTGTTTTGCAACAGCTGTTATTATCGTTTTTGGTCAGCTGTGATTGCTGGAGGCAAAATAGGACCAGATGGTGTTTTGCTATGCATGAATGGCGAGTTAGTGGAGTTGGGATTGAATAGGCCAAGTTTGAATGGTGTCTATGCACCACCTGCCTGCTGGGCTGTGGCATACACGTCACAGTGGCATGATCCGCCTCAAACTTACTAGACTCGGATGGGAAAGTGGGGAACTGGGATGGATTTTCCCCATATTTATTGATCTTCCATGCACTAACAGAATAATGCAGTGTACAGGCACTTGGAGTTAATTGGATATGACACAGCATGGGCATGTAATCTATCACTCTAGTATTCTGTTTTACTGTAAAGGTTTCATTGCTCCCCCAACACACACACACATATACACACACACAGTGAGTAATAACAGAAATTAAGGGGCTAAGTAGACATAAGGTGTTTTTTGTTTGTTTGTTTGTTTAAGTCTTTCTAAAATAGTAGACTTGAGAGTTTAAGCTTGAGGTTTGGAGAAGAGGAGGACATTTCACAATACTTGTGTCCATTAATAGTGCAAAGTAAAAAAAAGTCATGATTCTGATATGTGTAGAGGGCCCTCATATTTATAGGTTATCCATCAGATGTTGCATTTTTGTAAGAAATGTGCCTTACCAGGAAAGCCACACAGATACACAACCAGATTAGAATTTCTTCAGAAAATATTCTTAACTATACAAAATGTTTCTTCTCATCACTTCAAATATAGTTAGCTTTGCTGACCATCTGAAGGATATTTATCTTAAAGATAAGTATGTTCCCTGAATTTTAAAGTTGGTGAATGGGCTTAACTCATGTTATTGTGATCCTACAGGTGTGAGGGTTGTGTGCCAGAGTGTTACCAAGGAGAAGCTTAACCATCCAGGAAACGAGGAGTTAGACAGGTAGACAGCTCTATTTGCCTAAGGCCCTAATTGCTTAAATTTACTTCTGCTGCATGCAAAACACTGTAATAGGTCCCCAAGGAGATGTAAAAATAAACAAGGCTTTCTGTTTACTTTCTATATGTTTGAAAATTTCCATAATCAAAGTTCAAGAAATAAATTAATAAGCCATCCTTAACTTCAGGAGCTTTTATTTTGTATGCTGGTGGGGCAATAAAGCCATCAGCAGAATGATTAGTGTGCTGAAAAGAGACATAAAACAAATGTGTGTGGTGGTTGTGCTGTGTTTTCTGTTTTTTGTTTTTTTGACAATCTGAGAAAATCCAAATTTATTTAGAAAGGGAAGAGATTGCAATTGGTTAGAAAACGGCATGGAATCATTGGCATTTAAGATGTGCCCTTGAAGCAGTTCAGCAGGCCAAGATGGAAGTTGTTTCCTGATAGAAGTAGGAGACATCGCCAGACAAGGGAAGCAGGAGAAAAGCCATTTATGCTGGAAGCACAGGTACCATGAGAACTGCTCTAACAATATCGCAAATCTGGCACACAGTGTTTTGGGGAGGTGAGCAGGAGAAAGTGCTAGAAAGAAAGTTAGGAGTTAGATTTGTAGAAAGCCTTGTATACTCAGATGGGGACTTGTGTTTAACACCAGGACCACTGAAGGTACCAAGTAAGGAAGCCATTATAATCAGGATTGACTGAATGCATGAAAGGACTTTAACTTACTGTTGAGAAGGGAACATCCTGTTGCTACTACAAGCCGAAAGAAAAATAGAACAAGATTCCCATCAGAGCATGTGTCTCAATATTTTAATTATCCACATACATACATAAAGCTATCACTTCATGCGGTCCCTCACACCACTCCCATTTTCCTGGTGCAAGAACACACCATCGACAAAACCAAATGAAGTCATTTTTGGTGACATAAGCATCAAGAGGGACATCGTTTTCTGTGTTTCTGCTGTGAAAAGAAAGCTATTTTCACCCCTGGTAAAAAGTATCTCTCAGTGCTTGAACTCAAGTGTGATGAATGATGAAAAGAAGCTCTTGCTTTGCTGCTGAGTAAAACGTCAGGCAGCGCTGGAAGGGATGTTGGTTCTGGTCTCAATTTAATTTCAAAGAAGAACCTTCACAGATAGAAAACGTGAATGTGGATGTACACTTCTTAGCAAGGGAGTAATGCTCTTTTGTGGAACATCTCATTATCTCTCACATTTGTATAGTGCTCTGTACTTTTTCAAAGCAGTTTTTGGTGGACTACCCCATTCAGTTCTCTCTCTAGATAGGGCAGGACTTAACTTCATGTAGCAAATGAGGAAACCGAGGCACAGAAAGGGTTGTGACTCATTCCAGTAACTCCTTGCTTATAAGAAGACCAATCAGAACAGGAATAGAAAATTTCTCAGTTACGTCTCCTGTTATTTCATTTACCTTTTAATATTCATGTAGGTATAGCATGTATATTTGACGTATTTTTATCTATCACTTATTTGTATCTAAGATGTATAGGTAAATATGTGTGTAAACAGGTGATGTGGATAGATAACAGATAGCTAGGTAGATGACTGAAATCCATCACAGTGTCAAGGAGAATAATTAATCCATGTTTTCCTCATGGCTAGTCAGGCAGTAAACCAGAGTGAATGCCACCTAGCCATGTTCTCAATGGGGCAGAATGCCACATGGCACTTTTTTTCAGTATAAATACTTTCCAGTCTGATTGTTTTCTCTACCAAGGTCTCTCTGTAATTATTTTGTATTCAGGCAAACAGCTTTGACTTGTGGCATTTGAGTGTTAGGGGCTGGAAGTGCCACAAAAGTGTCAAACATAATATTGCTCTACATGTTGTTTTTTTTAAAAAAGGGTTTTAAGGAAGATTGGGAAGGGTGAACATCAGGTAGGTGTGCATTGTTATGCAATATTTTAAGTTGCAGCATACTTTCTGCAATCTATTACCACCTGATGGGGGTTTGAAGGCTTTATAG